ATGTCATAAAACACACATGTTCACTGAAAGGACAATAAGAATATATATACCTTCTCAGGTATCCTTGCAATTCTAAAACTCTATGATCATAAAAATTGGAAGGAATGGGGAGGGGATGTGATTAATCTTTGCTTAAGATATAAGAATAAAAATTACGGGCCAGGCGCGGTGGCTCACACCTGTAATCCTAGCACTTTGGGAGGCCGAGGTGGATGGATCACCTGAGATCAGGATTTCAAGACCAGCCTGGCCAACATGGTGAAACCCCATCTCTAAAAAAAAAAGAATAAAAATTACTATTAACTTCTGAAATAAGTTGAGACATCTGAAAATAAGCGCTACATTATTTGTTATGTTTTTTCTTTACTGCCAAGATGTGTTCAAGCCTGCTGTGCCTACCATTGTATTAGAATAATGAACTTCAGTTCTACAAAGATGATTACACAATTCACTGCAGAAAATGAGACACTTTTGAGAGTGACATTAATTACAAGTGGGGGGGCGATAGGCATTAACCAGGATTGTTCTGAGCAAATCAGAATCTGAGGTCACCCTGTCACAGTCACATGCTTGGACCTTCCGGAAAAGATTGCCCATCTTCTCTTCATTGTCATTTGACCAGGCACTGAAGTGACAAGACCATCCTTGAGATGGGCATCCAAAAATAAAATTCTGATGCATTTTGTTTTAGCGCTCACTTCTCCACTGAAGTCTAGACATACATATGTCATTTACACTCAGGCTATAAAACACAGGCCCAGGACAAAACTCTTAACTTTTCCCCCAAATCTTCCTTCAGCTAGTTTTTGCATCTCATAAGTGGTGCCACTATCCATCCGTTAAATTGTTTAGGGCAAACCCAGAAAAGCACTACCTTAATTAAGATGCAATTCACATAAAATTAACTTTTTAAGTGAACAGTTAAGTAGCAATACATCCACAATGGTGAACTTCTATCTGCGTAGTTCCAAAACATTCTCATCACTCCAACATAAAGCCCCATACTCATTAGGCAGTTACTCTCCATTTTCTCCTCCCCTATGTCCCCTGGCAACCATCAATCTGCTTCCTGTTTCTGTGGATTTACATCTGGATATTTCATGTGAGAATCATACAATATGTGTATTACTTTTTTGGTCTACTTCTTTAACGTCTTGTTGAGGTTCATCTGTTGTAGCTTGTTATCAGTACTTCAATCCTTTTTATAGCTAAGTAATAATATTCCCTTGTAAGTATATACCACAAGTTTACCCATTAATCCAGTTGAGTTGTTTCTACAGTTTGGCTAATGTTCATAGTGCTGTTATGAACATTCCTATACAAGTATTTAAGTCCCTGTTTTCAGTTATTTGGGTTATAAGCCTGAGAGTGGAGTTGCTAGGTCATACTGAAATTTTACATTTAACTTTTTGAGGACTGTTCAACTTTCCCTCAGCAGCTGTACCATTTTGCCTTCCACCATTGATATATGAGGGTTCCAGTTTCCCCACACCTTCACCAACACTTATTTTGCCATTTAAAAAATTATAGCCATCCTCATGGGTGTGGCCTTTCATTAAGGTTTTCATTTGCATTTCCCTGATTACTGATATGGAGCATCTTTTCTTGTGTTTGGCCACCTGTATATCTTTGGAGAAATGTCTGTTCAAGTCCTTTGCTCACTGAATTTTTGTTGTTGGATTCTGAGTTCCTTATATATTCTGGCTACTAGGCCCTTATAGTTTCTCCTGTAAGTTTTTGCTTTCTTGACAATGTCCTCATTCTTAAACTTACTTTATGTAATATGTACACTTGTAAAAACAAAAATCATGCAAAAGGGCAAACTGTTAAAAATCAGTTTTCTGTGTTGTTTTTAGTGACAATCTGTGCATATATATACAAATATAATGTATGTTTTCCCTCTCCCTTTTTTACACAAAAGGTAGCTACAAACAGTGGTTTATAAACTGCTGCCATTGTATAGATACAGTTTAACCAGTACCCTCATTTGGGTACATTTTGGTTGCTTGAAACTTTTGACTGTTACAGATATAAACAGGTTGGTAACTAGGTCTGCACACCTTATTATATCTCCAGGATACTGAGAAGTAAAAGTTGTTTCTGAATTATGGTTTTTTTTCATATTTGGAGATTGTTTCCTAATGATTATTAGGTAGCTGCTAAACAATTTTTATCAACTTAATGTTGATTAGTATTTTTATGTCGAACTTTACAGTCTATGCATTTTTTCCGGAAGAAAAATTAGAAGTGGCACAAACAGACTTACATAAGGTTGTGAAGTAGGTAGGCTTTTTCTTTTATCATCTGTTAACACTGTTTTCTAATCTCATCCTCAGAAACAACTTCTCAGCAACGAAACAAGTTTTCAATATGCCATCTTGTCTAGCATTATTAAATTTTTAACCCTTCTCTGGTTGTAGAAGTAAAGGTGTAACATGATTTTAAAGCAGAAAGAGCTAACAATTAAATCCTCAAGTTGGGTCGGGCAAGCATTTTAGCTGGATTACCTGAGGTCGAGTTTGAGACCAGCCTGACCAACCTCGTGAAACCCCATCAAGGCTGAGGCAGGAGAATCGCTTGAACCCAAGAGGCGGAGGTTGCAGTGAGCTGAGATCGTCCCATTGCACTCCAGAGCCTAGGCAACAGAGCAAGACTCCAGCTCAAAAAAAAAAAAAAAAAAAAAAAATCCTTAAGTTTTAAGGTAAAACAGAGCTAAGGACTGTCCAGTGTCATACTGTTCATGTCAGTGCTAAGAACACAAGTCTCCAGTTTCCCAGAGCAGGGTTCTCGATCCTCACTACACTTACTGACCACATTTGTGTTAAAGACCTTGAGAAAGCTGCTGTTCTCTAGGTAGAGCTTCTGGGGAGCAGTGAGGTTATGACTGTTCCTCTAACACTAACACAAATTATAAGTCTGTTTTACCAACTATTAAGCGAAGCCCTATATCTAGGGCCACTTAACAGTACTGGGTACGTTATACCGTGATTTTTAAAAGTACTTTAAAATTTTATTTGTGTTAATTTTTAAAGAATTGGCAGTAAATGCTTCCCATAAACAGCAATTAAAGGTATTGATTATTGGAGGTGAATCTTTTACATTAATTTATGGTAATTTTGTTATTCAGAGTATGTCTGGATACTTTAATATCCCTGAGAATTTATTTCTCCCATACCTTGGGCAAGGAGAAATGAAGCACATAAATTAGGTATATGGTAACTCATCTGTAAAGGAATATGTATTTTTCATGAGTCAGTGTGAGCTCCCTTTATGAACAGGGCACCATGTTACCAGTTGAAATATAGAATGTAAGGCCGAGGCAGGCAGATCACCTCAGGTCAGGAGTTCAAGACCAGCCCGGCCAACATGATAAAACCCCATCTCTACTAAAAATACAAAAAATTAGCCAGGCGTGGTGGCAGACGCCTGTAATCCCAGCTACTCAGGAGGCTGAGGCAGGAGGATCACTTGAAGCCAGGTGGTGGAGATTGCAGTGAGCCGAGATCACGCCACTGCACTCCACTGCAGCCTGGGCAACAAGAGCAAAACTCCATCTTTAAAAAAAATATGTATGTATATACACACACAGAGGGAGAGAGAGAGAGAATATAAGCTATCATCCTTACCTTTTAGGAGCAATGTATTTACTAAAACATTCCAAATGTTGTTATTCTGCCCTGAGTTTGCAATCTAGTGTTCAGTTAACAGATAAAAGCATTTTGATCAACAACTATTTGAAGATAGTATCCAGGCCATCTACTATGAACTAAAGCAAGCTACACTTAAGTGATAATCTACTAGGAAACAGCATTTACAGTGGGGTTCCAAGAACCTGGTGTCATACATACATTTTAACACAGCATCTTGGCAGCAGTATTTGATATTAGTTGGTGGAAAAGCTAGTGATACCCATGGGATTTCTTAACTGCATAACTGTTTGAAGAAATTGGGCAATGTGAGTGAGAATCAAGACTTAGTAAAATAGGTTTGGATTAGGTTTCTATCTTAAGGACAAAATAAGCACACTTAAAATGTACATTTATGGAATAAAATAAGTAAAAAAATATGGCCCAACTTCACTGACAATGGTAGTGGACACTGGTGTACTGCCCAGATACACGCGTGCTCTCTCTCTCCTGTCTCTCTCACACACACACACACACACCCCACACCTGAAACACTCATTTCTCCAGCTTCTGGGAGTGTTGGTGGCTGATACTCCCAGTTAAGTCCCTCTTAAGTCTTCAGCCTTAGACCCTTGTATCCACTAGTCCACACAGGTTCATAAAGGCTCATCGCCCTACCTCAATATGGCCTAACTGCAGGACCATCTCAACTCTAAAGCATTAGCTGAGAACTTTCCCAAGCTACATCTAGCCCAATTTCTTCCTCTTTCCCAGTCTGTCTGCTTTCCAAGATCAGAAAATTCATCTTGGAAAAAGTATTCCCATTTAAACCTTTCACACCATAATCTCAGTCTACTTCCCCAAGGAACCTGACCTGTGACAACATTCTAAACCCAAAGCCAAGAAAATTACTTGGACAACCCAACTATTTCTGCTGATTGTTTTTTTCTTGCCTGTGCTTCTAATTTGTAGGGCAAGGGAAAAAACTACCTTCAACCTTTTCTAATTCTTAATGTTTTATGAAAACGGAAAACATAACCCAAGAACAGCTTACCTCATTCGGTAGAACATCCAGGCATATTGTTGAAGCTCCCCGCCTCTATCCCACCCTGCCCCATCCATTTTAATACCATTCTTTAAAGTTAGGGATCTTAAAGAAACTGAACTCTAATTCATATACGCATTTCTAATAATATACCTAAGTGGGACTGGCTTGTCATATGGTGTTGGTGATACTGCCAGGTTTTATTTTGTTGTAAACGACCTTCCATGTTCATGGTACAGTACTGACATTTTATGGATTCAGTAAGCTATGGATATTTCCATTCCATGTGTATTAGAATTTTGTTGAACTGGTATATCACAAAATGCTCACAACATTTAATCCATCTTTATTAAAGTAAAATTGCTATTTCAATATATGTAGAAAACAACATACTGGGTGTTTTCACCTCTGAGATAAAGGTTCAAAAGGAAGAAAAGGTCCTGTTTTTAAGATTTTATAAAAGAAATCTACTAGTTACCAAATACTGTATTGAGATTGTAATATTCTTGCAGTCTAAATTTTTTTTAAGCTATTGTTTAAATTTTTGCATTGTAAAAAGAAAATTCCATGTGTACGTGAGATGTCAAAGTGTATCAAAGATAATCCTAAAACAATGTATCATTTAACCCAAAGTCAATGCCTTTTAAATGGAATACATCTTTTTCATTATTTGGTTATGAAATATACAGAAGGTATGGCGGAAGCAACAATGGAAGAGGCAGAAGCATTCTTGGCCCTCAAGAAGCTTACAGTCTGTGGGGTAATACCAACATTGAATGAGCAGCTACAAGTACAATACAAAAGGAGCTTACCTCTCATGGAGGGATGAAATTTTAAAGTACTTTTAATGACATCCTATGCATTATTAAGGAACATGGAAAGCTCAGGAAAGAATTACATTGAAACAACATTTGAGCAAGGAAAAGCAGAAAAGGAAAACTATAGCTGTTGACTTGAAATAGACAACCTCTTCAAGTCCAAGATTTCACGTGCTTTCAAAAAGTAATTGAAATTTTATTTGTACTTAATTCCTTTATATATAAAAACCTGAAATTAAGGCAAAATGCATGAAATGAGACCCCAAAAACTCATATCCTACTCAACCAACTAAAAGTTTTTAGGACCTAAACGGGGCAAAACATTTCAACAGCACTAACAGCTCAAGGAATGTATGTTAAACCTTTTATTTTACATCCTGAAAATTAGAAAACGCGGATAAACATTGTATATATCAGAAGGTTTTAAAAATAATTTGTATGATTTAATCTTACTAAAGAAAACTTCCTCATTTAAAGACATCTTTATACTAGCCTTTCATATCATCAGTGGAAACTGTTTATTAAGAGTAGTATGGAATACAGAAACAGCATAAACCAAAATCTCACTCTTAATCCTTTAACGTTAATTGGATTTCAGAGTGAGTAGTATGACTAAAAATCACTGCAGTGGGAGGAGGCACTGCTTTGTTTTAAAACCACACATGTGCTTTGTTGCCTGAGAACCTTGGGGTCAGACTTTTTGTACAGTAAGCCATTTCATTAAATATGGTTAGATTTGCAGTCTAAGACCTCAAGTGACCCACTCAATAACAATATTCTTATAAATTATAGCCAATTATAAGTCCTCCTTCTGGTTTCTCTTCTGTGCTTCGTAAATATGTACATCTTTTTCAGGATCGTAATGAACCTTTCTCACAGTAAATTGCCTCTCCAGCATTGCTAAGAAGTTGTTATCCCGTTCATAACGAATTCGGCATGCTAAAAGAATCACGGAGTGATTGCTACAGAGATGTTCCAGTGTTTGAAGAAGATCTGTGAATGTTTCTTCTAAATATATGATATCAGCTCCAAGTATCAAGTCAAATTCTCCAGGAGAAAAACTCCCCAGATTCTGTCCCCAAGTCAGCTCCTTAACAACAGCTTTGGATTGGATATGAGGAGGTAAGTTGGCTTGAACGTTTGATTTAAGAAATTCTAATGCTACTTTTCGATCTGTGATAGTCACATGAGCACCTACAATGCAGGACAAAGAAAAAGTGATGTGCACATCAGTACAACTCCGTTAGGCAGAGAGGGGGTCAAGTTAAATTAAGAGTGTCTCTAAATATTGCATCTGATATGCAGAGTATCAATCATGCCTTTCATGGACAGCTGCAATAAAACAATGACTCATAGCTCCTTTTGCACTAACTATTCGTAAAAATGAATCTTGACTTGCCTCTATGACATACCTGCTATTTGCTAAAATTGTGCCTATAAATTGCAGAACTGGGGCCAGGCTAGGTGGCTCACACCTGTAATCCCAGCACTCTGGGAGGCCAAGGCAGGCAGATCACCTGAGGTCAGGAGTTCGAGACCAGCAGAACCAATATGGAGAAACCTCATCTCTACTAAAAATATAAAATTAGCCAGGCGTGGTAGTACATACCTATAATCCCAGCTACTCGGGATGCTGAGGCAAAAGACTCACTCGAACCTGGGAGGTGGAGGTTGCAGTGAGCCAAGATCACACCATTGCACTCCAGGCTGGGCACCAAGAGTGAAACTCCATCTCAAAAAAAAAAATTGCAGAATTGGCTGGGCACAATGGCTCATGCCTACAATCCCAGCACTTTGGGAGGCCAAGGCAGGTGGATCACCTGAAGTCAGGAGTTGGAAGACTAGCCTGGCCAATGTGTCCCATTAAAAATACAAAATTAGCCGGGCATGGTGGCATGTGCCTATAATCCCAGCTACTCGGAGGCTGAGGCAGGAGATAGCTTGAACCTGGGAGGCAGAGGCTGCAGTGAGCAGAGATCTCGCCACCACACTCCAGTCTAGGCGACAAAAGCAATAATCCACCTCAAAAAAAAAAAAAAAAATTGCAGAATTAACCAGTGATACAGGCTGATGCTTCTGAATTCTGCCAACAAAGCTGGCCCATACTGTATTCATTAGGTCACTATCTTTAAGCCAGTTGGCCACAGGATAAAATGGAATCCAAGAATGAAGAATCTCGGAGCAGGCCAGGTGTGGTGACTCACGCCTGTAATCCCAGCACTGAGGAAGGCTGAAGTGGGAGAAGCCCTTGAGCCCAGGAGTTCAAGACCAGCCTGGGCAACACAGGGAGACTCCACCTCTACAAATATTTTTTTTTTAATTAAGCACAGTGCACACCTGTGGTCCTAGCTACTCAGGAGGTAGGCGTGGGAGATCATGTGAGCCTGGGAGGTCGAGGCTGCAGTGAACTGTTACTGTGCCAATACACTCCAGCCAGGGCAACAGAGCAAGACCTGGTCTCAAAAAAAATAAAAAATATCTGGGAGCAGACTATTATTGCAAAGATGGCAACATACTAAACACAGGGAAAGGCTGTTTTTTGAGGTTAAAGTTTAAAAAAGAATCATGGAAGAGATAAACTGGCTACTAAGAAATCCCAGTCCAACAATTCAAGATGAGATTTGGGGGAAAAAAAAAAAAAAAGAAATCCCAGTCCACTTCTCCTTAGGTTGTTATGAAGCAGCCAACATATGTGTTTTACATTTATAATTACTGAAAAATTATAAGCTTAAAAATTATGGCCGGACGCGGTGGCTCACGCCTGTAATCCCAGCACTTTGGGAGGCCGAGGCGGGTGGATCACGAGGTCAAGAGATCGAGACTATCCTTATCCT